CTCGGGATGGAATACGAAAATTTGCCCAAGAGAATATTGAAAGGAATCAAGATTATATGAAACGTTATTTCGATTCCACTAGAGCTCCAACTAAATTTTATAGAACCGGTGATTTGGTTATGATACCAAGTCACAATAACCCTGCAGATGGCAAAAGTAAGAAATTGCGACCTAAGTTTAAGGGTCCCTACAGAGTAACTGCCGTTTTAAGTAATGATAGGTAATTTTTTTTGATAGTCAAAACAGAGGGATAATTTAATGGACTTAGGGATTTGTTAATTTGAGCCGACAGGACTAAGGGATATTAGGACATAGTGATTTCTTGAATTGGAAAGAGAGGACTTAGTGTTAAAGTAATTCACAAAATACACGGAAAGGGATTTTTAAGTTAAAAATTAATTGCGCCAGTCCATAGAGAAAAAAAAGCTACGTTGTTCAGTGTTGTCAGGTCAAAAACTATGAAAATGGACTTAGTGATTTCTAGAATTGGACCATCCACTTACACGTTGAATGCACGACTAAATCTGAACGTCAATAAGTGGCTATCTGCAATAATACCAAACAGCATGTATTCCTTTACATGTCAACAATGCAATATTCATAATTACAACAACAAGGTGTTAAATATGTTTCGCGGAATAAGTACGCAACGCTCTTTTTTAAGTTTTTCTCAAAACCTATTAAGTGTATTTTAAATATAAATACATAGGCCCCTCATAGACATTTTTAGCTATCTTTTGATGTATAACACATATTTTTAATAATGGTAATAAATTTTTAGGACAGTTTTTTTACGCTCCTGAAAAGTTGGCATTTTTCACTTGCGTACTTATTCCAGGAAGGGTGCGAATTGTGCATACAATAAGGGATCATCGTCAAAAGCAACAGGATATTTACACCCGATACCGAAAGGAGATATCCCATTCCAAACACTGCATATTGACCACTTAGGCCCGTTTGTCAGGAGCAAAAAGGGGAACTCATACATACTAGGTATTATTGATGGTTTTAGCAAATTTATTTTCGTAAAACCTGTTCGGAATGTTAAGACTAAGACGACAATTCAAATTCTACAAGATATTTTCAACGTGATTGGTATACCAAAAGTAATAATATCGGATCGTGGGACTAGTTTCACCTCTGCAAGCTTTAAAAAGTTTATTGTATCGATCGGCGCCAAGCATGTTCTTAATGCAGTTGCGACGCCTAGAGCTAATGGGCAAATTGAGAGGTATAATCGTACCATATTAGAGTCTTTGGCTGCAACTAATCACGGAATGGACGAGCGGATGTGGGACGAGAACGTAGGCCGAGTACAGTGGAGCCTTAACAACACGAAGAATAGGAGTACAGGCAAATCTCCAGCTGAAATCGTATTTGGATTTAGAACCGTTAGTGAAAGTGAAGGTCCCATCATAAATGCCTTAAATGATGTTCTTCCCATACCCTGACACACTGACTTGCAAACAATGTAAGAAAATTTGAACATTGAAAATTTCGCGCCTACCTCAACGCATACACCTTTCATCCTTTTAAAATGGCACGGAATAATTCTGTCTACATTTCCAAGTAACATCTGCCGATCTATGTTTTTCTTAAAATAAATGGGTAAAATGTTTTGGCTAACATGGCATCCCTAAATTCACTCACACAATAGACAAACGCCAAAATTTTGCGTCACAGTTTTGTTGTAGCGCGAGTTCCGTCCGCCTTTTTTTATAGGTCCATGTCCTGGAGTATTTCAACAGAAAAATTTTAGAAATACTTTTAGGACTTAGAATAATTTTGAAAAAGCGGTTGCTACGGGGAACCTATGCCCGATTTCTGTCAGAGTTATTAATTTTCTCAAACACTTAGAAATTTTCGGAATTTTTAGCATTTTTTTTGGATATTTGTTTACATGTCAGTTGAACTGTCATTTATGATGGAACGGTTAGAGAACTGTCAATTTGATCTTGCGTCAAGGATAGAAAAAGCGAAGACGAATTTCAAAAAAGGTCCGAAAGATCGTTTGACCAAAGAGTATTTGGAGGGAAGGTTGGAACTTCTTGAAGGTTTGTGGAATGAATTTCTGTTGGGTCATAGGGAATTGTTGCGCACTACGGAACCTAAAGTATTATCCGAGTCGACCTATATGCAAAACGATACCTATGACAAAACGGAAGATTGTTATATCGATTTTAAGTGTAAATTGAAAGGGGGTTTAACTAAATTCGTTATAATCCCAAGTTCGTCCAACAATGATTCCAACCAGCCCACGGTACAGGCGCCTAATGTCAAACTTCCAAAGGTGAATATTCCGGTCTTTTCGGGCAAATACTCGGAATGGAACACGTTCCGAGACTTATTCCAGTCTCTAATCCATTCCAACAAAACTTTAGGAAACGCACAAAAATTACTCTATTTGAAAGGGTATTTACAAGGTGAAGCCGAGCAACTTTTATGCATCATCCCAATTACCGATAGCAATTACGAGCAATGTTGGCGTTTGTTGGATGAGAGATACAACAACAAAAGATACATCTGTCATCATATTTTGAAGAGACTGCTAAGCCAGAAAAATGTAACTTGTGAGTCGGCTAGTGGTTTGAAAAGTCTGATGGACACCACAAATGATTGTTTGTCCGCTCTGTCTAATATTGGCATAGATACAAGTACCTGGGACGTGCTGGTAATTCATATAATAACTTTGAAGTTGGACCCTGAATCAAAAAGGCAATGGGAGTTTAACATCGCGGATAATAACTCTACCGAGCTACCAACTTACGATCAGTTCGAACAGTTTCTTAAAAACCGTTACCGCGCCCTTGAGTTTTTGAGTTCAGAGTCCAAACCGATTCCTAGCAAAACCTTGCCTATTAGTCAAATGAAAACCATGCACGTTGCCATATTAGTCTGTCCCTTTTGTAAGAAGGAGCACAAATTGAGCACGTGTAAGGCGTTTAGGGATACGTCAGTGGAATTACGTCGCGAATTCGTTGCATCTCATAATGTTTGCTTTTGTTGTCTCGGAAACAATCACTCTGCCAAATTCTGCCACAGTAAATACAAGTGTCGCATATGCAAGAGGAAGCACCACACCCTGCTGCATCCTACGAACAAGATTGCTGCTCAGGAACCCCAAAACGGGGAGGTTACTACACTTACTACGGCTGATACCAAGAAAGTTGGGGCTGTTATTTCCTGCACGTCTACAAGAAGCACTGTGGATTGTAGCCAGGTATTGCTAGCGACGGCACTTGTAGATACTGTTTCTAAATACGGCCAAACATATACGATTCGTTCTTTACTGGATCAAGGGTCCCAATCCTCTTTTATTACAGAGGCCATGGTTGAATTATTGGGTTTGAAGAAGATTCCAGCTAGAGGGCAAATAGTAGGAGTAGGTGGCATGAACGGGCTCACGACAAAGTCGATGGTTGAAATAAAAATAGCATCACGGGTTGATCCAAACTTTATTATTACGGTGAAAGCTTATGTGTTGGGGTCCATTACTTCACTTTTACCTACTCACAAGATAACAGTGGAGGAATGGAAGGAACTTGAGGACATTGTTCTCGCGGATCCGAGCTACTATACTTCCAATAGTGTCGACTTATTGTTAGGTTCAGAAGTATATAGCCGGATAATCCAAAATGGAGTCATAAAGGGACCACTTGGTTCACCACTCGCTCAGTGTTCATCATTGGGGTGGATTATGTCTGGTGTCGTTCACACGCCCACGAAGCCCTCTGAAACAATAAAGGTGATGCACTGTAGCGTGGAGGATAATCAGCTTCGAAGAAAATGTAAGCTAGAAGATGACATTACGTTGCCAAAGGAACGAACATGTACAGAAGATCAAAAGACACGTGAAGGATACTTTACCAGAACTAGTCGTAGAGATGATACTGGTCGATACAGTGAGCGTCTCCCGGTGAAGAATGAAGTTCCCGATGTGAAGAATTCCTGGCAAACACCTGAAAAAAGAATGTATTCATTAGAACGAAGACTGAAGAACGGCGATCTGAAACAGAAATACACAGAGGTTACTAGTGAATATGTTGACATGAATTTGGATCTCGGTGAAGATTCTTCAACGGCGGCTGAGAAGATATTGTCAGATTTTAATGTGGACGATCTCATGATGGGTTGCGGAACTATCGATCAGAGGATTCAACTTTACAGAGGGGTGAACATAACGTTAGGTAAAGAAGGGTTTGAATTGCAAAAGTTGACTACTAATAATGAAGATTTGGTCAAGGCAATGAAAGATGGTAAAGTAAGTCAACGGAAAGGAAACGAAGAAAGGCTGAAAAGGAAAAATGATGAAATAATAAAAAGTGACGGCATCACCTGGAATTGCAGTGAAAATTTGTGATCCGTTACAAGGTCGACGTGCAGACCTATGAAGAATCTGAAACAAAAAGAAAAGTAAAAAAAAGGGACGCTTGAGAAACGCGATGGGTATTCAACAACAGTAGAGATATAGAAGGCTATGGGTTGTATTGCATGCCAATCTGAGAACTTTAGTGCTGTTGTTGAAAGGTAAAACGAAAATTGATACTTACCCATGGTAGTTTTCTCCGGTTCTTGAATCCTTTTCCCGTTATAAACAACATGTTGAGATTTGGTTGGAGACTTGTAAGAATCATAGCTTCATGAACGTCGTAAGGGAAAGAAAGAAATGGACTACCTATGCAAATTCCTCAACCTAACAGTTGATGATTTAGTTGTCATAAAGGAGGACAAGCTACGGGTCTTGGCTCAGTGGCAGGGTGATTGTGGTCCATCCCGGTAACGACGATGATAGAGTTGTTAGTTTCAAGGTGTTAAGATTTGGTCTCCTTCCTAAGGCTAAATAATTTTAGTTTATTTAGTTTTAAGGTTTTAAGTTTATTGAAAGTGTTTTATTATTTTACGGTACAATGGTTTTTATATGGTTTATTTTAATTTTATTGTTGATGTGTACCGTAACATGTTTCATGGTGGGCGATGCATTCGCGTTAAGTTTCATTGGGTTTATTTCGATTTTCCTGTTGTTAAGGACCTAGGAAGGTCCTTGGTGGGCGATATGTATAAACCTTCCATGAAACTTGTTTGTATTATTTGCCGAGAGATGTCACTGTACTTTGAGACGCGTAAAGCTGTACCGCGGTGTCCAGATTTTTTTCCCTGGCTTTATATACCTGGAGTATTTTGACATCTGTGAACCTTTGACAACCATTGTGAACCNAGTTTATTGAAAGTGTTTTATTATTTTACGGTACAATGGTTTTTATATGGTTTATTTTAATTTTATTGTTGATGTGTACCGTAACATGTTTCATGGTGGGCGATGCATTCGCGTTAAGTTTCATTGGGTTTATTTCGATTTTCCTGTTGTTAAGGACCTAGGAAGGTCCTTGGTGGGCGATATGTATAAACCTTCCATGAAACTTGTTTGTATTATTTGCCGAGAGATGTCACTGTACTTTGAGACGCGTAAAGCTGTACCGCGGTGTCCAGATTTTTTTCCCTGGCTTTATATACCTGGAGTATTTTGACATCTGTGAACCTTTGACAACCATTGTGAACCATTGACAACCTGTGTCAAGCAATAAATTGTCACCTACATATTGACGTCTTATTTATACTTAGATAAGAGTCCCTTAAGTGCGCCGAGAGTATCCTTGGTTTAAGTATTCAATAATAATTTAATAACTATCATGGACAATAATATTTATGCTATTTGCTTCTGCAAGGCAAAGCTGCCCTATATTGCTGCCTTATGTACACTGTTTATGTGTTTAAAATTTTGAAATAATAAAGTTATTAATTATAATATTACATTTGCAGATATCTCACTGCCTCCAACTGTTGTAGACAACCAGATAAGTGACACAACAGTACATAGTAATGAAGATTTTGTGACAAAGGTAATTATTGGCATCTACATAAACAGCTGTTTTAATAAAATATAGTCTACATTTGAAAGATTTCTTAAGAATTATTATTAACATCAATATTATTTAAACTATTAATAATTTTATAATTTTTGTGTTAGGATTGGGGAGATTACACACCGCAATCGTTGAGGACTCCGGTGTCACAAGCCCTCAGAAGTAATGATGAAACAGTAGTGAAAAACACAAAAACAACTGAAAATATAATGAAACCTATTGAGAAGCAGGCACGAACTCGCCAGGCCTGGATTTCTTTAGAACAGCTGCATAAAAAGAAGATAGAAGCGATAGACCTACAAAAACAACTGGCTGTAGAGGAAATGGAAAGGTCAAAGGTTTTACATGACCTAGATATTCAAATTAAAAAACAAATACTGAGGCAAGAAAAAATCAAAACAAATATATTACTGATAAAGCGAAGAAGACTATTAGCTCACAAAAAAAGCACAATACTATGAATGTTTTTATCCTTAAAAGATGAAGATGATGCGTATTCCAGCTATGGGCAGGCCTCCTACTAGGTGGACCGACGATCTGGTGAAGGTCGCGGGAAGAGCCTGGATGCGGGCAGCGCAGGACCGTTCATTGTGGAAAACCTTGGAGGAGGCCTTTGTCCAGCAGTGGACGTCATTCGGCTGAAACGAACGAACGAAGATGATGATGATCCATACGCTCGATTTCGGCCATGGCGACCACTCCGACTCCTAGCTGTCTTGGCGTCGCTAGTGTGCCCGAAGATGACTTACGTAGCCGATCTTCGCGGCAAACCCCCTCGCATATTGAGGGCATCTGAGCACGCCGCCAACATAGTTATAGTGAATAAATAGATAAATTTTAAATATTTACCTACATTTTTTATTTCTGTAAACAAATGTAGATGCCCTCATTATACTTCCAAAGCCATTATTATAAAATTCTTATATTATGTACCTTAAATCTATAATGTTATCTTGTTATGGCTATCTTTCTCCAGGGTTCAAACTGTTCCCTGCCAAATTACATCAGAATCAGTTCAGCATTTTATATGAGAAATTGCTACAAAAAGTCAGTTACTTTCTGCAAGGTATAATTATTATCATCATGATTTAAGATTGCCCGATTCTTTAATGTTTTTTATGGTTATCGTAATAGTCAATTAAGTAATTTATTTCTTCTTTCCTACACTTTTTATGTTATTAGCGCCATCTATCAACTACCAGCAACGTTAGTTGATATCCGTCGTTTATCATCAACACTCATAGATGGCGCTATAACCAAGAGTGGAAACAGTCGCA